TCTATAGCCTTTTGCTTCTTCACTACGGCCAGACGTGCTGCCAGGACATCCTCCCCCAACATATCATCTCCATAGTCACCAGAAATTAGCTTTTGATCAAGCTCTCCCAACTCACCCACAAATGCATTCCTTGCAGTATACAAAGCCATTATCTCTTTGACAGCATTATTCGCAATATTCTTTGACTGTCTTGCCAAGGGCTTAGTCTGTGCCACAACCTGGTCTTTCCATTCTTTCTCAAGAAGAGGCATTTCTAGACCAAGTTCTTGGAGAATTTCCTCAGCCCCAATCTTCTTTTCTAGGCAATGCAGCCATTTACGTTGAAGCCATTTTCCCATCACCTTGAATGACTTTTTCTCTAGGTGTTTCACCTGAGTATCAATTGTGAACAGAAGATGGTAGAACTATTTTAGACAATCATTAATTTTATTTTCAAGGATGACACATGACGACTTACCTCTGCCACACGCATTGATGGAATTAGTAACTTTATGGAACTCCAGAAGCGTTCACAGCCCTCTCCATCAGAGAGTCCAAAACTTTCACCTTTACAGTGGTGGTAGATTAGTTGGCATGGCCACTGGTGACCATATGCATGAAACACTGCCAGTGCAAAAATAATGTGTGCCATAAATTCATCCAGAAAACCCTATATCTTGCAACTTCTCTCCAACTGACAACCAATATCATAGAGTATCCCCACAGTCATTGACAAAGGCAAATTCAAAAAAAGCTCCTTGATCAATGCTAAAGCATAATATTGTTGTTCTCCAGCAGTGGTCATATTCACAATCCAGAGCACATGGTCATGACAACAGAGCATAGCTGTAAGTCCTGTGTCTGCAAAGAACTGTGTACTGGCTTTTGTCCTTCTTTCATCTGCAGCCACAAATGAGGCCAAGCACCCTTCCAAAGCTGAAACTGGGACTTTCATTCCAGGCTCATAGGAATCTTCTACACCATGAGCATCAGAGCCCTCCTTTGTCTTTTCCTTTGACTTTGATTTTACAGGACAAGTAGTCTCAACAAAGGCTTTCATCTCAGCAACATTCTTGTCTGACACAAAGACAGTTTCTGAATGGAGATTTTCAGGACCCTTTGCCCCACCTTTTGCTGGATTTCTTCTTTTGTGAGTAAAGCAGGCATCAATGCACACAATAACATCTGCACTGACAACATAAAAATGAGATGTGAACATAAGAATATAAAATAACACCTACAGAAAGTTGTCATCATGTGGTTTATCTCCACCAAAACAAAGTGGGCAACGCTGCCGTAAATATAGACTTGGTCTATGAATACCAGATGTAGCATTTGTACTATCTTGAACATCAGGAGAACCATCACTAGCCTCATCTGCAGAAGGAGCAGGACTAGATGTCAGAGGTGGTCCATAACTTTCTTCATCTAATTCCTTAGATTCAGAAGAAAGGTCATCCTGACCCTCTATTCCAGTATGACTCTCATTTATGATCCCAGAGATTAATAGCTCTTTTTGAGCAATCAAATTCCCATACCACTGCAGAGCATTTCCAAAGCAATGCCTTATTGCATCTCTACTCTCAAGCTTATAGCTACAGGAACCAAGAAATGCCTCTAGAGAGTCACACCATGCAGTAGTGTTTGGTGGCAAGCGAACAAAAAGCTCATTCACATAGTCAAGCATATTTAGATCCACTGCCAATGTAGGTCGAAGTGGTGAGGCTGGAAACAGCCCCATAGCCAAGAGCTGTAGACATGCAGAGCAAGAACACACTTCCACTGATGTGAGCTCTAAGTGGCAGTTGCAACAGATTAGCCATGGCAAATCAATTCTAAGGCAGCAAGAATAACTTACTCTCAAAAAACACTGCAATAACCTTCATTTTATGCCCTCTTCCATTGCAAGAACAGTGAGGTAACCTCCTATCTATATTTTTTAAGTTCTCTGACTCTCTCAACAAGTTCAGATAGGGATCCAGAAGCTCTGGAATCAGTTTTAAAGCCCAGTTTTTCCACAAAGTTATCTTCTTGTCTTTCTTTTTACTTGGAGAGCCTTGCTCAGCAGGAAATACCAAGGGATGAAGACCTTCACTAGGTGAAACCCCCTCAGAATCCTCAGAGTCACCATTATCCCAGTCAGTCCCATTATCATCAGTGTCAACAGCAGCAGCAGCTGCATCATCATGCAAATCAGCAGCAGTAGGCAAGGGTATCTGAAGAAAGGAACCTAGAGGAGTTGTCAAGTCCTGCCTAGGCAAGATCTGAACACCAGGTAGCCCATAAGGACGATGTGACACACTGGCATCATCAGTTGACACACAATATTTAGCCAAAGACTTCTTTTTCACAGAGGGAGACCCTATAGCAAGTCCAGCCTTGCCCAAGTAACAACTCTTTCTGAATGACATCAAGTGTTGCAAAGCACCAAGCTTGAAGATGAGGGGAAAGAAGAAGAAAGTGCCTTACCAAGGTCTCGTCAAACCCCCAAATCCCCAGGAGCAATACAGTCCCAAAAAAGATATATTGATACATCATGTGCCGATGACAAGAAAAAAACGAGGTGACATGATGCAAAGATGTATGTGTGCTATTATTGTTCAAAAAAATTAAGATGATGGCAGCCGCACGGAAGACACAGAATCTGCAAAGGTAACAGGCTGGGAACGTGCAAGAGATTGAGAAGGAAGATGACAGGGTATGACAGGTGCACGGCTAAAGTGGTCAAAGAAACTCTGGCAATAGAACACTGCACATGCCTCCTCCAGACGACGCACTTGGTTTACCAATGGCCCCAAGCTTGCTTTGGTGATAGACTCCAGGCAACCCTTCCACGAAGACATCAAATGCCCCAGTGCCACCAGATAACAGTTCCACTCCAGCAGATCCACCGACGTCAACCCTAAATCGCGATTCGGGATCTCGTTGATGATGAAAGGTCCCACCACCTCACCAGACATGGGAAATACCCAAAGAACTTCCTGGATACAGGCAGCTGCCGCCTTCTCCTGCATTAACCCTTCACATGCTTGGTACATCGCATTTGCGGCGATGGTATTGAGACTCACAAGCTTGAATTGAAAGCTCATGTGGCAGAGTTCCCAGAGTACCTCCTTTGTGATTTCTGGTGTCAATGTGTTCTCCAATTCCACTGTGGTACCCAGTTGAATCGTCGTATCATAAAAAACCACCCTATCAACCTGGCCTTGTTTGAGCGGGATCTGATCAAGATAAGAGTTCAATTTCTTGGTGCGAGATTTTCCCGGCCCCTTGCCTGGCCCCTTTGTACTCTGTTTCCCCTTCCCCTCCAGTTGTGGTGGGGCAGTGGAAGTCATGGGTTCATCAAGCTGTGCTGCAACATCGATACTTTCAGGGTGCAAGAAGGGCTGAATTTTGATGAGGAAGTTGCTGCTGATGGGTGGAGGGAGCGAGGTCCCAGTGCCGAGCGTGTAAACATGATGTGCTCGGATGGCCAACCATGTTGCAGTATACAAAGCCCAGTTTTTGGAGTTCAAGAAAATTTCGGGCTTAGGATATTTGAAGCTGATGTTTGCGATGTGTTCTGGATGTTTGATTACTCAGCTGCGATCTGAATCGATCATATGCAAAGCATCCTCCCATTGTGGCATAGGGTCCGGCATGAAGGGGCTGTCTGGAGCTTCTTCACCTGCTAGGCATGGGCACCTCATCCAACCTTGGCATGAGCCCCAGAGAAGGAGGAATAACAGGCATGGAGGGAGCCTGGGACTGCAGCTGAGATCGTGGCTGAGACAGCTGCTGGGATCTCACAGATCGTAAAACTGCAAAAACCTTTAGTAAACTCCGCACTTGAAGTGCAAGCATGACTTTACCTTGCTGAGTGCTTGAAGTGGCTGAGGAATACTGTCCCTCATTCCTAGAAGATGATCCAGCTGAATACAGTCAAAGTTAGCAATCACAACATCAACATGATACAGTCAATCTTACCAATGGGCCCCACTGCCCCTGCCACAGACAATTGGGAAACAGACGGGACAGGAAGTGAGTCTACAGAAGAAAAATATTAGCTACTGATCTAAATCGAAGAGGCTTTCACCTACAAGACTCCCAAACCGCCCCCAGCTTGACTTTTCCCTCAATAAAATCCTGACGGCTGATCAACGTAACATCCTGAAGGTCCATGATCCCATAGCTTATGTGCTGCATCCACCGGTAGAGTTCTGTGGATGGTGGGCCAACAACCAGAACAGGATAAGGGTCAGGCTTCCCCCAGCCATCGGAAAAAGGCCACAAGACGATTGCATCATCATGTTGCTGGGGGGAATAGACATTGATGTTCATTGTTGGCAAAATACGAAAAGACGGTCGAATTAACCAGACCAGAATGCCCATCGCATGAAATTGCTGCGCAACCGCAAATTTCTCTGTAAAGGCGCCCATAAGTTTCTGATTGGGCTCATACGTCTCCATGCCATTGGGACCGGGGCACAGACAGGGCTGGTAAACATCAACGTATTCTATCCACCCATGTATATCGAGTACTGTGTGTTGAAACTCTGCAACTGCAAGAACAATCTCTTTGTAAGTCATTCCAAAGGATCAGAGTTTATCGAGACATTGACACATGGTCGTCACCAGGAGGCCAGCCAGCAGAGAGTGATCGGAACGTTGGCCTATGAGGCCAACGTACTTGTCGCGAAGCTTTTTGTATCCCTCCAACAGGTGTGGTTTGAGGACACAAATGATGATTGCAAAGGGGCCATTGGGAACTTCAGGACAATCCTCCAGAGTAGGAGTCCACCATAGCATGCGTTGTGAGTGCTCGCACTTGGGAATACAGCAAATGTACTCAAAACCCTTGACGTACATCTGTGGATATTGGTGTGGTCATCCAAGCCAAAATGTCCATCTGCTCTTGCTTGAATGGTTCGTATGCTGATGGGGGCAGTGGGAATGTAGCCACCATTGGGTGTTGTGATTACCCACCAATGACTCAGATCCTGGCTGTCTGGGTGCTCCATATACATATTGATACCCGCTTCACTCATGACCTCCCCAGACTGAACGCGACAGTTCGTCACATCCCAGCATACTGCATCAGTGGCCTTGTATTCACGATCCCCTTCATGGAAGTATTCTTTATAGTACAGTTTGGCATTGGAGGGGGACATTGCTGTTAAGTGTATGAGTAAGTATTGAACTCGAATAATGGTAAATGGTAGAAATTGAGCGACAAGGAGTCAAACTCAAGACGAGGATGTAGATCGACAAGGAGTCAAAATCCACATCCTCGGCAGTACTTTACCCTCCCCCATGAGTTCCAGCAGACTCCCATAGAATGTCAGAATTCCATCCGGAGTCCGCCGGAATGGTAGGAATCTCAAATTCCAGTGGATTCTGCCGGATTGTGAATGGAATTCCAATGGATTCCGCTGGATTCTGAATGGAATTCCAGTGGATTCTGCTGGATTCTGAATGAAATTCCCATGCACTTACTAATTTTAAGGATGGATTTTAAATATAGATTGATCAGATGGCATTGATAGATCAGCATACTTGATTGATATTGTATATACATTTAGTTTGTGTAATTCTAAAGTGAGTCATCTACTGTTCCCTCTTCTCCTTCTTCTTCTTCAGTAGAATCTTTACTTAATTCCTGCTTTCTAATCACATATCTTGTGTGATAGAAAAGCATAGTATGAAGAAACCAGTTAAAGTTTCCTTGTGTCATTCTTTTCAAGATGGAATCAAATCCACCAAGCCATGAATTTAATTGTTCACAAGCCTGCAAAAGCAATAAGTTATAAAATATATATTATAAAATTAAGAACTGTACCTGAGTATTGAAGGCTCTTTTCAAATATGGTCGACCATTTTTATCAACAGCAGATATAACCAGATTAGGTGCAGAACTATTGAGAGGTGCAGGATTACACCATTTACAACAGATATAGTCAGTTGTGCAATGATTAATGTAATGGTAGCTATCCACAATGAATCAAGTGGTCTTTTTCCATATCCGCTCCCAGCTCCCATTGGCTATCGCAGTTCAAAGCACTAGGCATGCTTTATCAATGCAAATGTAATCTGGTCTAGATTCCTCTGTTGGAAAGATAGATTCCAACCAATTTAAAACATTTATTGGTGATTCTGCCTTGTCAAATTTAGTCCATGCAATAACAACACCACATGGGGCAGTTATAGTTTCTATGCAATAAAATCGAGAAGGGTTGAAATAATGTTTGACTTGTGGTTCAGATGCTGGTTGGTCATGAGTAGTGTTCGAAAGTCCGGTTAGGTTAGGTTATTGGGTGCCCAGGGGCTCTAACCAAGACCGAGACCAGTTAGCCTTTGTCCCAAAACCTAAAATAACCTAACCGGACCACAACTAACCGGTTACAGTCGGTTATTTGCAGTTACTAACCGGTTAGGACCGAAAAATAAATAATCAGTTATAACAAGGCAAATATGCTCATATGTATCTTCATAGATATTATTTCTGCATATTCTAGCTTTAAAACGAGCCCAAGAACGCTAAAATCGGTGAAGAATTGACATATTTATGCAATTATCCTTGAAAGTCTACACATTTGAGTGATATTTTAGAGATTTGACTGTAACTTAGTCAAATTTTAAGCGTTTTGGACGTTCTAAAGTGCGTTTTGAAGGTGTATAATAGGGCTGGTTATAACCGGTTATTTAACGGTTAGTTAACCGCAAAATAACCGGTTATTCCATTTTCGAAATCAACTAACCCTAACCGTGGTTAGGTTAGTGTTGCGGTTAGGTCCGGTTATTTTCCGGTTATTTTCCGGTTAACTAACCTAACTTTCAAACACTAGTCATGAGGCTGTACAGGTCTTTCATTAGAAGGTTGCCAAGGCATATTTTCTGCAGGTCGCTGAAGCATTCTTTTTACTCCAGCTAAACTCTGTTTGCTTCTGCTATTTGAATGCTTTTTCCATTCACCTTGATGTTCACTACAGGCCTGTGTTCCAGATTTCTTTGTTGATGTACAACCATGTACACAGCATTTTGCCCCATATTGTAAGTCATGAAAGTGACAAAATACTCCACCACATGCATTTGCCAACTCAGAAGTACAATTGTCATATGCACAATGTGTTGGCCCCATAACAATGCCATCCATCACAATCATTTTCACAGGTGCAGCATTTTCATCAACATTTGTGTCTGAAGCACCCTGATTATGTTGTTGAGCATTAAGTCGAGCTTGAGCAGCATCTGCAGCTGCTAGATCAGCCCCTTCTCCAACAAGTGGAGGTACATGTCTGTTTTCATCCTCACCAACTAAAGCAGCTGGATCTTCACCAGTTAGCAAACTATCTGCAATGGCCTTATAGGGTTGAGTACATTCAGTGCATTCATGAGCATGAGCAGCTTGAATATATCCATTATCTCCTAGTATTTCAAAAGCTGATTTGGTAACATCATCAATGGGAAGGCCATCTGGAAGCTGCAAGTCTTTTTGTAAAGCTGCTCCAAGTGAACGTATTGATTCTTGGACAAATGCTTGCCAAATCAGCCATCTTGTCATTTTTCCTGTACTGTTCTCTAAATAACTGTTATTCCAGAAGTCTGTATATGCAGCTGCTGATGCATGAAAACTGTACATTCCATTTAACACAGCAGCAGAGAAGACATGATCAACCCATGTATTCTGACCAATTTTAAGATAGTGAGCAGAATTTAAGTAAACTTGGCTGACTATGTTATCATTGGATGTGCGTTCACAATCAGCCCAGTACAATGTTTTGCAAGATGTACAGATGCCAGTTAATACATATGCCTTTTCATGCATTTCATTTCCCTTGATCAAAGTCACAGTTGGTATATCTCTGGAAGGAGTATGCTGCATCAAAGATCGACGCTTGCATGATTTAGTCATACAAAATGGAGAATTAGGACAGATGAGTAACACTGGTTTAAATTCATCTTGACATGTTGGTTTCAGCTTTCCCTGAAAATTTCCTTTATCATCATAAGGGTATAGATCCAGAAGTTTTGAAAAGTTATCAAGTTTATCTTCTATTGCAACAATCTTCTGATCTCCAGTAGGGCTTTCCGTCTTTTTCAAAAGAGTGTCAGACTTTTCTCCAAGCCTCTCGATGAGTGCACGAACTAGAGCTTTCATCCATGCACTGACACAAACTGCATTTTCTCCTTTTCCAGTAGGATTTTGTTGCTTAGCATGTAAACTTAGAAGTTCAAGATTATCTGTCAATGAGAACAGGACCAAGAGAACTGTGGAAAGAGTAACTTTGGAGCTGAAATTGTCTTTTACAACATAGTTAAAGACTTTGAATGTGATATCAGGAAAGTCTTGTTCAGGTATAGCTGAAACTCCAGGTAGCAGAGTCAAGAAGAGCAGCAAACAAATGGTCATCATATAATTGTCCAGACTAGCAATCACAGAGAGTAGGCCCAAGAAAGTTGAACAAGCAATGTCAAGTAAAACCTTCTACTAAAATTAAAGTCTGCATTAAAACGAGAGAAAGAAAAAATGAGAAATGTGTTACTATAGTACACTTACTTCTTGCTTTCCTTATTTCCATCTGACTTCTTCTTTTTGGATCCACTACCTGAAGCCTTAGGTTTCTCTTTCCCCTTCTCTTTTCCCCTCTTAACTTGCTTTTTCTCTGCCAACCACTTGTTGAGATCAGTGAGTGAGTATCCCTCAGGTTCATTATAACCCCAGATTTCTTTATCAGTAGGGCATTTAGCATCTCCATCAAGATATGCCTGCATATCTGAATAGTTCCTTGCAACCTCTGCGAAAGCTGTTCGATATGCAGAATACCAGGTTGACTTAGCAACAAATATCTCAATAAGCTCTGTCGCAGTTGGTTTTTGACAGTTATCAGGCCAGGATCCATCTGTGTGCATAGTATCCAATCTGTTGGATGCCTGGCAGTAAGCCTTGTATTTTTCATAGGCAAGCAGCAGTGGAGGATTAGGATTGTTCTTGATGATATGGCCTGGAATGTTAAGAGGCCTAATCCACTCGTCTTTAAGATCACTGGTAGTTCGAGATTTACAAGTCGGCTGGATAGAAGCTGGGGTACTGTGTCTAGTAGACCCAGTTCCAGATGTAGCAGATGTAGAAGAAAAAGGATCAAATTCAGTCTATAATAAACAGAAGATTAGTTTAGATAACTTGAAATTTAATTGTATTAACATACGCAGAGCAAAGACAAAGTATACTCATTGTTCTGGAGTACCCAGGAGACTGGTTCATTGTCGCTGATTGCACGATCAAAGCGACCTTTAAGATCCCAGGCATCTCCATCAAGTGTAAATATTCTCAAATTTCTATCCGAATATTCCAGTACTTATCATTCCCCCACAGAATCCTGCAGGACTCACAGGATTCCTGAGGATTCCTGCAGGACTACACCATAATTTTGGCAAATTTGAGTTTTAGGAGAAAAATTCTGTCAAGTCCACAGGATTCCTGAGGACTACATGACATTTAACCATCTGTGACATCTTTAAACACTTCCTCTAACTTCCTTAATGAACTTAACTCTATTTCCATCCTTAAAGCATTCAGATATCAATACATAGTAGAATTTAATTATATTTTAAATGACATCAAAATTACTTTACAAGTATATTAAAGGGAGGGGGGAAGGAGGGACAGACAGGAAGGGGGGTACAGACAGGGGTAGGAAGGAGGACAGGAAAGGGAGAACAGACAGGAAGGGAGATAGAGAGGAAGGGAGATAGAGAGGAAAGGGGGACAGACAGAAATGGGGACAGACAGGGAGGGGGGACAGACAGGGAGGACAGACAGGGAAGGAGGACAGACAGGGAGGGAACAGACAGGAAGGAAGGATAGAAAGGGAGGGGGGACATACTGGGGGTGGGCACTCATTGCTGCTTGTCAGTGGCGGCCTCATTCAACATTCGTCGGCAGTGGTGGGGGGGTCGTGTCTGTCTGTGGGTGCTCGGTGTCCGCAGGTGCTCGTCGTTCGTGCGTGGG